GTGCCTATATATATATATATAAAGACCTCATCTGTGGTCTAGTGACCAGAGTTCCTGGTTACAGATCCCGAGGTCCCGGGTTTGATTCCCGGCTCTACCAGATTTTCGGAGAAATAGTGCATCTGGAACGGGGTACACTCAGCCTCGTGAGGATAATTCAGGAGCTGTTTCAAGGAAATAGTGGCTCATGTCTAGAAAACTGACATTAACGGCCGTGAAGATCCGTTGAGCTGACCACGCGACACCCTCTATCCGCTAACGTTAGAACTAACTTCGCCGAAAAGCGGCGGTCGCTCAGTCGGTATAGTTCGCTTGCGGACTACAGACCACGGAGTTTGTTTTGTTTATATATTGAGACACTCAGAAGACAGTTATTCTCTCTGTCTAACAGACGGCATTCGTCTTCAGATGGGCACCATATGTAGATTTGTTCACACCGAGGGCAAATTAAAGGTGACGGGAGAGGGCCAAAGATGGTAGAACATAAATGTACGGAAGTTCCCTTTGAATTTTCAACGGGCCCTCTCCAGCAGATCTACATCAGACAGTTGGCAGCATCCACAATAATATTCGTATGGACGTTAAAGTTATTTGTGTTTTGTGCTGACACTTATAGTTGCGTCTCTCTTACTTATGCAGATAGCAGATGGGTCGGGTGGCTTAACAGTTCGCTCGAAGGACAGCCCCTTGAGATCACTTTTGAGTTCGACGGACCCCGGGAGTTCTCCGCAGTCCACCTGCACGCCAGTAACCTTCTCTCAAGAGACTCACAGGTAAGCGTCACGTTTTTTGCTTCGTCTTTTACGTTGATAGTTGTAGCCCAAAATGGCATCGATATACCCAGGAGGACAGGGAGACAAGCGTAAGTAGCTATAACTCACATAACTTCGGGACAACAAGTCTGTAAACTTTTTCTCACATGAAAATGCTATTTTTCCTTATGGACATTGCATTAGATATCAAAACTTATGTGCTTCTTTATATTCTACCACTAAAAGTGTATGTTTAGAAACAATAGACGTAACACAGAAATAAAATGCAGAATTACATACGTACCTACCTACCTACCTAATTTTTTATTAATGCTAGTGGGGTGGGACAAGTCCCTTATACTGCGGCCTATTTTGGCCTATTGTACCAGCCGCAGATGATAGGTGAGGGTGATTGTGGAGCAATTGGTGGAATGAAGATTGGTAGGGGAAACTGAAGTACTCGGAGAAAACCTGCCTCAGCGCCACTTTGTCACCACAAATCCCACTTGACCAGACTCGGGATTGAACCCGGGTCGCCGCGGTTGGAAGCCAGTGGCCCACCTACCTACCCACCCACCCACCTACCACTCGGCGCTACAGCCCTGTGTGAGCCTTGGCCTCTTCTACAACCAGTCTCCACGGCTGTCTTTTCCTCATCTTCTCTATCCATCCTTTCACCTTCATCTTCTGCAGGTCGTCCTCAACATCGTCCAGCCATCTCATCCTGGGTCTTCTTTTGCTTCTTTTGGAATATAACATTACAGAATTGCTTAATAACACCGTTTTAAAAATTAAAAATTATTACGTACTTAATATATCTAAAATCACTTGCAAGACGAATAAGAAAATAAGAAGCGTTAGTAAATAGGTCGCAAATGGACATAAAATGTAAAACATGTGATATTAAAATCTGGAAAAACAGTTTCTTCTCGACATATCCTTCACTAACACTGATACACTTGTCCCCTCGCTTTACCGGTACGTCGAAACCCGCAGCGTAGAAGTCTTCCGACTGCTATCTCAGCCACTTCAGCACCTCCATCTCAACCCCTTCATCATCAGCGAAATGTTTTCCACCAAGGTGGTTTTTCAGCGGACCAAACAGGTGAAGTCAGTAGGGCCCACCGTAAACAGGAAGCATCTCTTATGAAATTACCTTTGCATTGAGTCCCTTTTCCCCCACAAAAAATCGCATAAGAGAACGCTGCTCTTCGACAGTACACTCCTCCAGCACGGTCGCCCTTTTGACTAATGAAACTAGCGTCTGAGCATGCGCATCTGCTACCTAAACTGTCATGAAGCTGGACTGTGCTGCTGCCTAGTGATAGACATAGGAAATCTATTACGTCCATAACATCCGCTTTACATCCATTTGTCAACTTTTTACTGACTCTCCCTCGTATAAGACAATATTAAGTTTGATTTTCTTGGGGTAGGAGAGTAACCGAGTGGAACTGGCTCAGAATTTGTCCGATTTCGGATTTTGTTATCAGCGGTGCTGAGTTTTCGGTGTCTGCTAACAGAAAGATACTTAATTAAGTACATCATAATATGTGTAGTATATGAAGTCATTCATGCGATTTTCAGTTAGGAAATAATTATTATAAGTATTTATTATTTGTCGTAATGCCTATTCACACACTGATTGCAATAGAAGACGTTGAAGAACCAAATTATGTTTAAAACGTGCGGGAAATCTATTTTAGTCCTCTCATTTACACTCGTAAGCTGTTAGAAAGAAATTGGCACTTGCTAGCTTTAGAATACGGTATTGCCCATTTTGGATGATTCAGTTAAAGTTTCATGGGAAGAACAAGGTTTGAATGCTACAGAACGTGTCATCAGAGATAACTGACATGACGAATGCAGTTAAGTATTTCGAAAGAGACAGATCATGTTTTATCGATGTCAGAGGCGTCGTCACTTTTATTAACATATTTTGTTGTTTAATTTGTGTTGTTGAACTCTGATGGTGTTTAATAACGGGGTGTTGAGGAGAACATTTGGACCGAAGAGAGATGAAGTGACATGAGGCTGGAGAAAACTGCATAATGAGGAGCATCATAACTTGTACTCTTCTCCAAGTATAATTAGAATGATCAAGTCAAGGAGAATGAGGTGGGCAGGGCATGTAGCACGAATGGGGGGAAAAGGAATGAATATAGGATATTGGTGGGAAAGCCAGAAGGAAAGTGACCACTGCGAAGACCATGGCGTAGGTGGGTGGACAATATTGGAATGGATCTTAGAGACATAGGATGGGATGGTATGGATTAGATTGATCTGGCTCAGGATAGGGACCAGTGGAGAGCTTTTGTGAACACGGCAATGAACCTTAGAGTTCCCTAAAGTGTTGGGAAATTATTGAGTAGCTGCAGATTTGGCTGATTCTCAAGAAAGGCTCAGCTTCATAAGTAAGTAAGTAAGTAAGTAAGGCCGCGCCATAGCTCAAGCGGTTAGTCGCTGGCTTCCCACCGCGGCGGCCCGGGTTCGATCCCGGGTCTCGTTAAGTGGGATTTGTGGTGGACAAAGTGGCGCTGGGGCAGGTTTTCTCCGAGTACTTCGGTTTCCCCTGCCAATCTTCATTCCACCAATTGCTCCACAATCACCCTCACCTATCATCTGGGGCTGGTACAATGGGCCAGAAGTGGCCGCAGTACAAGGGACTTAGTCCCGCCCCACTAGCAATAAAAAGAATGTAAGTAAGTAATGTGATGTTGAAGTGTGTCCATGACGACTGCTGCAACCCAAGTGCGTCGTGGTCGAAACGTCTTGACGTTAACTGAAGGGACGGTACTGGCAAATGAAACGAAACAACCAATACAAATACCATGGGATTTAAGGAATTCTGACTATTTGAGAAACTTTTTAATTTTACTCCAAAACATTAAGGCTTCTCATATAAAAGTAAATATCCATAAAAGCGATCCGAAATCAATATTCCGATTTTAATATATAGATTCTCATTCAAAGGCTGCGTCTATAGCTTCAAGCTAGAAAACGTTATTGGGTTCCGCTTCGAATGTTTGGTCTGGATCTTCCAGCAGTGCATCCTGTAAATGGAGACGGTTCGCTGCCCCGAAACGGTCACCCACATGCCACATTACACTGTGTTACAAACCAGAAGACCACAGTGTGACACTAAAACATGAATCCTAACTCAACTCAGCGTCCCAATGGAATATTCCTTATCTTACTCTATCGCGTCACGTGGAACCGATGTAAGAAACGTTCTGGTTTGTAAAAAGAACGAAACTATGGGTAATTTACAGAATATCAATCTAAAAACTCTCATACATTATCGACAGAAAATTTAAGAGAAGTAGCTATGAATACTTCTATCTTGTGGGGATATAATGCCGTGTGGATCATTGAAATTTATCCGACGTATCGGAAGAACTTGTCGGCTCCATCTTCAATGTCAAAGAATAAGGTCTGCTTGTTACCTGCTTCAGTCTGGTTTCTTAGTTGGCTTATTCTTCGATATGAACATATAAGCGATATGTTACTCCGAAACTTCGGTCGACTTCCAACGGACGACATGGCGTTATAAACCACCGCTGTGAGAACCTCTACATGAATTGTCTTTGCTTAACGGACACAGATTGTTAAGTATTTCCTCTCCTCCTAGTCTGTCACCTGAAGATGGAAGCAGAATCAGCCTCCGAAACGTTCTAAACATAATCCAATCCTTATTTCATTCGCTTAGTGGGGTGTGGAGTCCAACTGGGTCCATTCGGCACGGCGACCACTGATTGGCCTATTGTAGCCTACCCCGGGTGATTACGATGATGGAGAATTTGGTAGAATTAAGATTGGCAGGGGAAACCGAAGTACTCGGAGAAAACCAGCCCCAGCGCCACTTTGTCCACCACAAATCCCACTTGGCCAGACCCGGGATCGAACCCGGGCCGCTGCGGTGGGAAGCCAGCGACTAACCGCTTGAGCTATGGCCCGTCCATCCTTATCTCATAGCAGTATTCTTATTCTGTAGTTGTCAATTTGAATCCCCACCCAACATTCCGCTAATTATGGTTTAAATGCCCGGTGATTTCACTCAGTTCCGACATACGAATCCCAGGACACTTCTGTGAAAGCAGGACACATACTGTGATGAAATTTGAGCCCTACGATCTTCTCAGTTGTAACCCCTACGTTTCGGTAGAACATCACTTCCGTCTTAAAAATCGAATCGTACGCGACGCAAGAGTCCAGCAGAAGTAGGCTATAAGCTGACGATTTACCAAGAAATTGGAGGAAGCATATGGATATAGTGTAGAGTATCTACACACATAAGCGTCTGTTCGGTTCTTAAACCTTTAAATTTCAGTGGTCACTATATGCATCACCTGCTTTAGCATAATGAACTCTGCATTCTACCCAAAAATTGTATTTTACTGTCTCACACGTTGTCTACTTCCCTAAACGGCATTAAATAGCTGATATTTATAGCGGAGGCATAATGTGTTTCCTGTGAGGTAAAGTAAAAGTAAAGTAAAAGTAAAGTAAAGCTATCCCTGTAACAGGCCGTGAAGGCCCATACGGTTGTGAGACGTTGTGGGACCCACATTATCTAGACAGTCGGCTCAAAGATGACAGTAAGGTTGTCAGCCTTAAGCGCCGGCCGCGCTTTACTCCTCAGGAAAATTATTTAATTAATTCCTGGTACTCATTCCTGTTAGAGGCTGAGTCGACCCCAGGGCCATAGCGCGGCTGGAAGGATTAGGTCAGTTGAAAAAAATCCAATGACCTCATTGGGACTTGAACCCCCGACCTTCCGGCTTGTAGCATAGTGTCTCAACCAACTACGCTACGGCGTGCCCCCTTTCCTATGAGGTACGAACTATATTTTTATATATCACTTAGAAAAAATTTAGCATTTAAATGGTTAAACGAGTTTCGTGACTAACAGATTCCCAGAGAATGTGAGTAGATTGGAAAGCCACAATCCGTAATGTCTCCACTTGCGTTCATTTCACTGATCTAAAAAATGTTTACTGTGGCTATTTATATTACTGTAA